CCCCAGTATTCGGCATAATAAATAAATAATTAAATAGTCCACTCCAACGTGCAGAGTGTTGATGATACAAAATAAACGTAGGAGTACACTCGAATAGAAAAAGACAGTGCAATACTCTGAAACTAATCACTCCTTGCTTGCATTCACTGGTTTATTGGAACAATTGTAAAGTTTTGAAACTCTATTATCTTCCCTGAATAGAGTTTGCAGTGCCTTGTCATGCGAATAGCTTGCACGCAAGGAACGTTTGGAATTTTTACGAACACTATATTTTTAGTTTTTAATTCTTTTAGGAAATAGACTTGCCTAGATTTAATCTTTACGCCCCAGATGTTATTTACATCGGAGTTGCATCATAAATTGTACTCGGATTCAAACAACACAATGTCAATGACTTTATAAAAGTAAAAGCATATTGTGTATTGGCCTATTGGGTTTACACTTTTACAGGTTCATTTAACTTTAAGTCTTTAACTCTCTCAAGTCTCAACAGACAATCGGACATGCCAAATCCATTGATATGACAAATTGACAACTTCAAAAAACTTTCTTTCGAAGCTAGAAATCATGATTTTTTTCAAATGTTTCCTGGGGTACTTTGTTTTCTGCTCTCTAGACTCCCCCTCACGGCTCTAGTGCTCCACCCCTAGAATATAGACCTTACTGGGGTTTGGTGACACTTTGTGTTGCTTCAGTCACCTGCTCACGGCTCACCCCCCTAAAATTTCTGGCACCACCCCAGTAATAAATATGAAAATCCGTCTATGCACTAGTCTACAGTAGGCCTAACATTTTCTGAATTAACGTTAACTTTGTTGTACCCTACACTGTTTTATCAAATAACATGTACATAACGCTTGCTCTGATTGGTCGAAACCCGTGTTTGGACCAGGCCATCCAAACACGGAAATTTAAAGAAAGTTTTTTAAAGTGAAATTTCAACACGGAAAGTTGTTATTTTATAAAACAATTACTTTATGGTTTCCGTGTTTGGATGGCCTGATCCAAACACTTGGGAATGTTGCTCGAGTTAAGAAAAGCGCGCAAAATCACCAACCTCGTTCCCAGGCTCTTCCCCTCAACAAGAGGGAAGAGCCTGGGAACGGGGTTGGCAAAATCACTTGCCTTCGGCTCGTGTTCGCGCGCTTTTCTTAACTCTCGCAACATTCCCGCGTGTTTGGATCAGGCCATCCCCCCCAACCTCTTTATTCATTCCAAGAATCGATTTATCTTATAACTATGTTTAATTCGACAAGACGTTTTCTGCCACACCATTGGTATGTTTTGCGCAGCTCTCCCATAATGCAGCTCCCCCGTTTTGCGCAGCTCCCCCATAAGATTTCAGTGTGCCTAGGATTATCAATTAAAGCACACATAGATAAATGAAATGCACTAAAAATTGACAGTACCTGGCAGTTGTAAATCACTAAAATGTTTGTCTTGATTATTGGCTGAAGTAGTGTTATTATTAGTTCGTGCTGGTAACCTCACACCACTGTCTTTATGCTTGATACTGGCAGCCAATGAGAAACTGTCTGTCATACTGGCGGGAACAGGGTGCAAGATCTGACGTTGTACTTTATTAAGGTCATGAAATGTCTGTGTATTCTGACGTACAAGCTCCGGAGCTTCCGAGCTCTGAACATTAGTAGATTCTAAAATCAGGGAGAAAAATGAATAGAATGTCCACTATAATTGGTCTTAAATGACGCATTAGTCGCATTATACTGCAGCTTTCCACTGCATTTACTTTCTAAAAAGTCAATATCGGTACTAATAAAAATCGGTACAAAACGCTATTTTAGACCGTACTCTAATGAGAAAAAAAATGTAATTAAATTCGGAGAGTTTGCTGTAAATAAAATTTTAATATGTGGAATATTTCAAATCCGATCATGAAGACTGGAGGGAATTTCAAGGCTTTGCCTCGGACTGGATCACTGGAACAGTTTGTACAGCAGGAGAAACAGAATCACAACTACACATGCACTATAACACATTTCGTCAATCTCACTAATCGCAATTGAATTTATCTAAAAAGTGAGGAAACAATGAAAATTTCCATCAACGATGGGTCGCCATCACTATATATGAACGGGTTCTGTGATTGGTTGATTATAACAATGCAACACATTAATGATTCACGCACGTTATATGTGGAAGAACCGCAGCCTGAAAATAAGTAAAACACACATCAAATTATTGTGGGAGAATGGGATCAGGATAAAGTGAACCAATTATATACATTATACTCTTAAACTCAACTCAAAGACTCATTAAGCCCTATGTTTTCATCCCGCAGGCGTATTTACATTATATAACCTGAGTCTATGCGCCTGAAGTTGAGTTTTGTTCGCGTAAGCCAATCACAAAACATTTAAGGTGGCTCGATATAGTTATCACAAAAACCCTGCTCAACAAACGCGAACAAAACCGTGTGACCAATTTTACGCGCAGGTCGCAGAAACTGATTAACAAAATGTGACAACTTCCAAAATGACCTGACGTGAGCAGTTGCTCGCACCATCTCGCGTCATTGCGTGCTTGATATTTACCCACAACGAATGGAAATTTTCAAGTGTCGTACAGGAGGGGTCGCCCTTTCACCCCTATTGTTAAATTGACGGAACAAAATTAAACAACAAAAAATTCTGTTTGAAGTTTTTTAAAACTTCAAACAGAATTTTTTGTTGTTCCTTATATTCAGTTTCGTAAATCGGATACCAGCCACCAATCCGTACCTGCTCGATCAGTTAAAACTGATTAAAACTGATCAAGGTACGGATTGCTGGCTGGTATCCGATTTAACAATTTAAATGCACAAAATAGTTTCTGACATGTACTGTATCATTCAAAAACGTGTACGAGATTTTTGAATTTCAAAAATTCCATGGAATTTTTTCGGGATTTTGTTCGGGATTGGGGACGTTAAAACTCTCTGTCGTCGTCGTCTAAAAATTTCCAATATGTTGAGGAACCAAGCTTCCAATAACAAACGCTCGTTTATTGCTGCCATTTTTAAACTTTCGCGCCATAAACGTTTCCCCAACTCTCTCACATCATATGTGCGCAAAAAGTGAAGCGATGATATGGAAATGAACGAACCGCGATCGTTACGGTTACTGGTAAATTGTTATAGCGATCGTAATGATTGCAGCGATTGTAACGATCATATGGAATCCAGGCTTAAACTTAAATGGGATGTATTGATCCTGGATACGGAATATGTTGCGGTCCACACGAGCAGGTTCACCTTTACGGTTGACGAATGATAGTGTAGCACACTTATCCTAACGGAACTCAAGGCCAATAACCGACGCAGAAGAGGCAAGTGATGATGTGTTGCGATAATGCGACAATAGACCTTTCCCCTTATGAGTGAAATTTTGATCTAGACAAGCCTGGACAAAAATTTCATCACAGCTTGAAAGAGCATCACAAAATTAGTAATATTCTTACGAAGTTTGCCGTTTTTCAGTCATTTTGTATTACAAATGGGAAATTGGTAATCGGTTTGATCATCTGATTACCAATTTCCCGTTTGTAATGCAAAATGACTGAAAAACGGCAAACTTCGCAGTGCTATATTATCCGCATTTTACAACACTTCGCAACGAAACTTCGGGATATTACTAATTTTGTGATGCTCTTCAAGCTGTGATGAAATTTTTGTCCAGACTTGTCTAGATCAAAATTTCACTCAAAAGGGGAAAGGTGTATTATTTTGTTGTTTCTATCTGCTACTAACTCTTGACGAAGGGTCTTCGCTCGAAACGTCGAGTTTCTGCTTGTTTTTTTAAGGTAGTAATATAACCACTCAGCGCAGAGTTTTTCAATTATATTCCAGAATCATCCTCAGAGGAAATGAAAAATTAAGCTTTTCATATATCAGTAATTCTCACACTGGACGTCTCGGACCCCTGAATCCAATGAACGTCTCGAGCAGGAGTTTAGGCTTAGCTCAAACCTGGCCCATACACAGTGCGGTCAGTTAAGGCCAAATAAAAAAAATACTTGGTTAGCGTCACACTCTCACAAATTTTCAGAGGCGAAAGGGCGCTTTTTTTTAAATTTTTACTCGTTTTTTTAAATTTTTAATAGTATTTTTTGGGCGGATGGGGGCGGTTTTTCCACTATATCGGTGATATTTTTTGTACTGATGTTGCGAAGGCCGCCATTTTGCTATACGAACCTTGTATACCCAAGCCCACGAGCTCCTATCGATCAGTATATAGCGCGAAGGTCTGAGCATGAGAAAAATTTCAAATATTAAACTGTTTTAAGCTGTAAAACGAAGAGATTTACATAAAAAAAAATTAAAAATTCAGAGGCGGCAGAAATCGAGAGGCGGGCGGTGACGCTAACCGAGTTTTTTTTTATTTTCGATTATTTGGCCTAAGTATAAATCAATATACCTACCATTTTCTGTACTCGGGGATATTCGAAATCTCGCTGAACGATGAACGATTGGATTTGAAACAGAAGGCATTATCAAGTAATCATTTTCTGCTGCGCTTCTCTTTTCTCCAGAATTCTAAAACGATATTACTATATAGGAATGAACGTGAAAAATTATTGCCTAATCACCTGAGCTTGGAATAAGTGCTTTTGCTATTGGTCATCGAATAAACTTTGGAGTAGATCGCTTAAATAGAGGCAAGTGATGATGTGTTGCGACAATGCGAAACCTGGATGAGACCTAAATTGTAATCGTAATATTCACCATTCGCTTCTGTTCGCTTGGACCTCTGGTCTCATTCGCATCTTTCTTTTAGGGCCATTGAATGTTATATACGTTTTCAAAGTAATGATGTTACTACCAAGAGTACAATACAGCGACATAAACAATATGCATGATAAAAAATATCAATCCTGATTGACTGAAATTTTAACATTGTGCCAAAAATGTAATTCAGTGCAAGCTTTTAATAATATATCTTTCAAAGTTGAACAGAAATAACTTTTATAATTGTTGAATGTTACAGCATTACACAAAACGGTTTGATGATGGTTATTTTCATATATTAATACACAGACAGTCAGTCTGCACTCATGCCTTTTTCAAAGCCCTTAAATTAAATTCCTCTTTCACGACTCAGAAAATTTGAAAGACCTTTGAAATTATGAACTTGTGCATGATTTTTTTTTACAATTATCGCACTTGAAACCAGGCATTGCCATTTGGCTTTTTCAAGCCAAATTTCTCAAATTTGGTTTGTTTTTGCATGCAATGGTTTGGCTTGGAAAAATTTCATAAAAATTGGTATTAAAAAGTAAAAAAACTCTCTAAAAAGTAAAAACCCTAAAATCCTACACGGTTATTAATTTAAGTTAATAGACCTTATATGCATAACGACGTCACAAGGCTTGATGCCCACAAGCAATGCTGGATTAGTAGTCATCACCTGGGAAAATTTTGATAGTGCCATTTTGAATCGTTTAATTTTCCCAGGCGACTACTAAGACCAGCGTTCCTCGCGGGCATCAAGCCTTGTGACGTCATTATGCATAAGGTCTATTAAAGTCTAAACTTGCTCAGTTATTTTATGATCAGTGTGCATGGAAATAGTATATAACATTATACATTTACCTGCCTTGGTCTTTCATTCACAGTTGTAGCATGAGCTTGAAAGCTGTAATGTAGGCCTAGATTACCAGACTAAATAGAAATTACAAGTGAATTAATAAAAAAATTATGTTTTTATTATTAATAAAATAGTTAACTAAAAGTTTTACTTGCTTTTACACAATTTGGTGCAAATCACACCTCCTAAACTTCAGCTAGACTATTGGTGCACTTGGTGCAATTACCAGGCTTAATGGTGTACAAAAATTTAAAATATACCAAACTTAACACCAGGAAAGCTAGGTAGAAATTAGGTAGTGCAAGTACTATGAGTGTTAAGTCAAACAAGAATGAGAGTTGGTGAGAATTGAGAAGCGAGAGTTTGCATGAGAGTTTTCTCTGTCATCTCTCATGCCCCAATCAAATGACTGCATGAACAAGAGTTGCATGAGAGTTGATTGGATATTAGTATTATGCACCAATCAATTTACAGTATACTGTTAATATCCCCCCCCCCCGGCATATGCAGTACCCCTGGGCATTTGAACTTTTTGAAATTTTGTGGTCAAATTTCCCACTCCCAGGACAAAATTGCTGTTCAAATGCCCCACATATAATGGAAAATTGATGGTCAAATACCCCTACTCTGGGTTCAGAGGTTTTCTGGTGTCAGAAAGAGTTGCATGAGAGTTGATTGGATATTAGTATTATGCACCAATCAATTTACAGTATACTGTTAATATCTCCCCCCCCCCC